AACTTTCTTAGATTAAACGTCTTCCAGCTTTTAGGGAAGAGATCAAATTGTCATCATATGCAGATAGCATGATACTATATGTAGAAACCCTAAAGATTCCACACAAAAATGACTAGTACTGATAAATGACTTCAGCAATGTAGCAGGAGACAACATCAACATACATAATTTAGTTGTATTTATTTATAGTAACAAATGTCAGAAAGGAAATGTAAAAAAAAAAAAAAACTTGTAAAATCATACCACTCGCAAAATACTTAGGAATAAACCTAAAGAAATGAAACACTTATATAAGAAAACTATATAAAACATTACATAAGGAAATGGGAGATGATTCAAAGAAATGGAAAGATATCCCATGCTCTTGGATTGGAAGAATTAATATTGTTAAATTGGCCATACCACCCAAAGCCATCTGTAGTTTTGATACAATCCCTATCAAATTATCTGTGACATTTTTCACAGAAATAGAAAAAATGATCCAAAAATTTATATGGACCCTAAAAGACCCAGAATTACAAAAGGAATCTGGAGGAACAAAAACAAAGCAAGCATAGCCCTCCAAGACCTCAGACAATACTGTGGAGCCTCAGTGATCAAAATGGTGTGTGGCACAGAAACAGACATGGGTCAAGGGAACAGAACTGAGAGCCAGAAATAAACCCACACACCTAAGGTGAGAATATATAATGGAAAAAATATAGTCTCTTCAGCAGGTGGTGTAGGGAAAGTTGGACAGTTGCATGTAAATCAATGAAGTTAGAACACTCCCTCACACCATAGACAAAAATAAATTTAAAATTCTTAAAGACTTACATGTGAGACATGACACCATTCAGTTCAGTTCAGTTCAGTTCAGTTCAGTCGCTCAGTTGTGTCTGACTCTTTGCGACCCCATAGACCACAGCACACCAGGCCTCTTTGTCCATCACCAACTCCCAGAGTTTACCCAAACTTATGTCCAAAGAATATAATCAGTCTGATTTCGGTATTGACTATCTGGTGATGTCCATGTGTAGAGTCTTCTCTTGTGTTGTTGAAAGAGGGTGTTTGCTATGACCAGTGCATTCTCTTGGCAAAATTCTGTTAGCCTTTGCCCTGCTTCATTCTGCATTCTCTTGGCAAAACTCTATTAGCCTTAAGACACCATAAAACTCCTAGAAGAGAACATAGGCAAAACATTCTCTGACATAAATTGAACCAATATTTTCTTAGGCCAGTCTCCCAAGGCAATAGAAATAAAAGCAAAAATAAACAAATGGGACCTAATCAACTTAAAAGTTTTTGCACGGCAAAGGAAACCATAAACAAAACAAAAGACAACCTACAGAATGGGAGAAAATGTTTGCAAACAATGCAAGTGGCAAGGGTTTAATATCCAAAATATACAAATATACAATTGCTCATGCAGTTCAACAACAACAACAACAGAAAAATGGACAGCCCCGTCAGAAAATGGGCAGAAGACCTAAATAGACATTTCTCCAAAGAAGGCTTACAAATGGCCAATAGGCACATGAAAAGATGCTCAGCATCACTCATTATTAGAGAATTGCAAATCAAAAGTACAGTGAGGTGGCACCTCACACCAGTCAGAATGTCCATCAGTAAGAAGTCTACAAATACCAAATGTTGGCGAGGATGTGGAAAAAAGGGAACTCTGCCACAGTGTTGTTGGGAATGAAAGTTGGTGTAGTCACTATGGAAAACAGTATGGAGGTTCCTCAAAAAACTAAAAATAGAGTTGCCATATGATTCAGCAGTCCCACTCCTGGGCATATATCCTGAGAAAACTGTAATTCTAAAGGATACATGCACTCCCATGTTCATAGCAGTGCTATTCACAATAGCCAAGACATGGAAACAACGTAAATGTCCATTGACAGATGGATGGATAAAGAAGATGTGGTGTATATATATATATAATGGAATGCTACTCAGCCAAGGGATGGAATGATGCCTTTTGTGGCAACATGGATGAAGCTAGAGATTATCATACTAAGTGAAGTAAGTCAGAAAGAGACAAATACCATGATATCACATATATGGAATCTAAAATATGACACAAATCAAATTACCTGTAAAACAGAAACAGACTCACAGACATAGAGAAAAATTTTGTGATTGCCAAGGGGGTGGGAACGTGGGGGAGGGGTAGGTTGGGAGTTTGGGGTTAGTGGGTGCAACCTATTATACATAGAATGGATAAACAACAAGGTCTTACTGTATAGCACAGGGAACTATATTCAATATCCTATGATAAACCATAATGGAAAAGAATGTGTAACTGAATCACTTTGCTATATAGCAGAAATGAACACAGCCGTTGTAAATCAACTATACTTCAATTAAAAAAAAAACCTTCCAACTATTTACCTGGCTGTCCGACTTGCCATAAATAGGAGTCTGAAATCTATAGTTCATTATATATGCTTTGAATTAATATCTTTGTTTTCACTTCTTACTCGCGTAACATTTTGTGTGCTTTTTCTCTGTAGTTCGACAGGTCACATTATGCCCTCTGTGGCTGTGGTTCTCTTTCTACTCTCTTCATTCACTACTGCTCCTCTATCTACATATCATATTTCAGAAAAGTGTTGAAATTCACTGTTAGTTAATGAGTTTATCAGCCTTGTTTACTTTATTGTTTTAAGTTAGTACATTTTTCAACACATTATATTTAAGGATGTCTAAAGGAGAGGGAAAAAATCTTGTCATCAGTTTGCTTGTCTTGAGTTAGAGTTTTTCATCCTTTAATAATTGAATATAGAATATAGAACTTGAACTTACTTTCATAATGTGGATCTTCATTAGAAACCCCAATTATTGGGATGTGCTCTGTGAAAGTGAGGGCTTCCCTGGTGGCTCAGATGGTAAAGAATTCACCTGCAGGGCGGGAGACCTAGGTTCGATCCCTGGATTGGGAAGATCCCCTGGAGGAGGACATGGCAATCCACTCCAGTACTCTTGCCTGGGAATCCCCATGGATAGAGGAACCTGGAGGGCTACAGTCCATGGGGTTGCAAAGAGTCAGACATGACTGAGCGACAAAGCACTGTGAAAGTGAAAGTTGCTCAATTGTGTCCGACTCTTTGCGACCCCATGACTATACAGTCCATGGAATTCTCCAGGCCAGAACACCGGACTGGGTAGCCATTCCCTTCTCCAGGGTGTCTTCCCAGCCCAGGGATTGAACCCAGGTCTCCTGCATTGCAAGCATAATGTGGGTCTTCATTAGAAGCCTCAATTATTGGGATGTGTTCTAGTTGTTTAAATATAGGCATGAGATGGGTCTGTCTGTGCTCTTGAATCCAGTAGACAGAAGTTCTTGATTAGTAACTGCTCTGGGGTTATAACCACAGCAGCAGGGCTAAAACTTTTCTAGTTTTCTCTCTCAGTCGGTGACCTTACTTCCTACTCCACTCTTATCAAGATGGTCTATCATGAACTTCCATTTATCTTAGGACATCCCAGTTCCCAGTTCATTCTCCCTTGTTTCAAATGAAGAGGTGGAATCCATCTTTTCTGAAGAAATATCTCCTCCATTTGCAGCCTGAAGTCCTGGGACTGTTCTCCTGGATATGCATCTGCAGATATGTTCAAATCTTCCCCTTGGTATGTGGAAAAAACCTTCCTTCCCATCTTTTCCCTGAAGCTACATGTTCAGTTGGAGAAGCCTTCTAAATTTTTTTCTAAGCTCTGATTTCTTTGCTTATAGGTATTCTCTTAATGTCTGTCTTCAGTCCACTTTTTTCTCTTGTTCTTTTTCTGGGAAATCCTGTTTGTTCCCATAACTTCATCTATTATTGAGCCCTAACCACTTCCCTGACATTCAGGTGCTCCATTCCACCTACACGTTAGTTCAGTTCAGTTCAGCTCAGTTCAGTCACTCAGTTGTGTCAAACTCTTTGCGACCCCATGGACCACAGCACACCAGGCCTCCCTGTCCATCACCAACTCCTGGAATGTCCTCAAACTCATGTCCATCGAGTCGGTGATGCCATCCAACCATCTCATCCTCTGTTGTCCCCTTCTCTTCCTGCCTCATTCTTTCCCAGCATCAGGGTCTTTTCTGGTGTGTCAGTTCTTTGCATCTGGTGGCCAAAGTATTGGAGCTTCAGCTTCAACATCAGTCCTTCCATTGAATATTCAGGACTGATCTCCTTTAGGATGGACTGGTTGGATCTCCTTGCAGTCCAAGGGACTCTTAAGAGTCTTCTCCAACACCACAGTTCAAAAGCATCAATTCTTCTGCACTCAGCTTTCTTTATAGTCCAACTCTCACATCCATACATGACTACTGGAAAAACCATAGCCTTGACTAGATGGACCTTTGTTGGCAAAGTAATGTCTCTGTTTTTTAATATGCTGTCTAGGTTGGTCATAACTTTCCTTCTAAGGAGTAAATGTCTTTTAATTTCATGGCTGCAATCACCATCTGCAGTGATTTTGGAGCCCCTCAAAATAAAGTCTGACACTGTTTCCACTGTTTGCCCATCTATTTGCCATGAAGTGATGGGACCAGATGCCATGATCTTACTTTTCTGAATATTGAGCTTTAAACCAACTTTTTCACTCTCCTCTTTCACTTTCATCAAGAGGCTCTTTAGTTCTTCACTTTCTGCCATAAGGGTGGTGTCAGCTGCATATCTGAGGTTATTGATATTTCTCCATTAGTACCACTCAGTGTATTCCAAGAAAACGAGTTACTCCATACTCCAGCTCCATCCTCCTGTCCTTAGAAGTACAAAACAAGAAAGTACTCTAAACACACTCTCTGTCTTCCCCATGTGGATTGGTCTGATTATCATTTTTCTAGTCACTCAGGGATATGTTAGCAAGGAATGGTTGTCAGGCTATTTGTAAGCCTGTCCACCCACAGTTATTACAGTCAGAGCCAGAGGACGATTAATTTCAAGCACATAAGCTTTCTTGCCCTCAGCCTCCGTGGTTCTTTGTTAATATGTCTAATCAGTCTGCGTTTTCCTGATTACACACAGGTCTGCAATTAAGGCCCTACGTCCTGGAGGGCTGCTTGTATACTCTACGTGCACACTTTCCAAGGCAGAAAATCAGGATGTGATCAGTGAAGTTTTAAACTCCTACAGGGACGTCGTGCCTGTGGACATTAAGGAAATGGCAAGGACTTGCTCCCAAGACTTCACGTTTGCTCCCACTGGCCAGGAATGTGGGCTCTTGGTGATTCCAGATAAGGGTAAAGCCTGGGGCCCGATGTATGTTGCGAAACTGAAAAAATCATGGACGACTTGAAATCAGAGATATGCCTTTTGTGAACCGTTACATTGATAACACATGCATGTATTATTATATTTCTTTTTCTAGTCTCTCTGCATGTTAATATTTAAATAATAATGAATTCGCTGGATCTGATTGGAATCCTATTTAGTTAATGTGGCATTTCAGAACTTTTCAGATGTGTTTTTTTTCCTAGAAGTGTTTTCTATAGTAATGATTTAAGATGCTGCAGATGGTGTTTATGCTATATAATAAATCAACTGTCTTTTACTTGGCCTTTTGTAGTTAAATTAATAGTAATATATGGTTTTAGACATAAAATGTTTAGAGATACATTCTATCCATAATGTTGGTGCTTTGAACCTTTAAAAATGCACATTTCCTGGCCCTCTTATCATTTTTCTCCTTATCAAATATACAGATTCTCTGAGGTTTTTTCCTCCTTTTCTGTAAGAACTGATTGGTATTCTGAGACTAACTTCTTAGGCAGCAGTATTTCTAGTTCTAGCAAAATAAGTTTCTTATTTGCCAAGTTGTTTTTCGTTAAGAACTATCTTCTGTTTACTGCAAAGGTCAGTGACTCTATTGACACCAGCTTTATTTCTCCCTCGTTTTTTTTTTTTTGTATTCACAAATACAAATTGAAAGGGTAAATTATGTGAAAGGCCGTTAAAACAGCAGATTCACATGCACATGTTTGACTTTTGACATTCAGCTTGTAGAATAATGGAGTCTATCCAGCAGGCTATAAAGCAAGTACTTGAAACAAAACCAGAATGATTAATAACCGCAATAACTGAACTATATTTGGAGAGTTTTGCTACATAATTGCAGTCATAATGAGCACTACAGAATCTGATTATCTTACAGTTGCAATCTGGAGGGGCTTTTTATTTCACTCCATTATGAAATGTTATCTGAGAGTACGATGTCACATATTAATGCACAGGAGGGAAATGCCTAATGACAGTGGATTATACTGTTACCAAAACCCAATACCGTTTATGAAGTGGCTCTCCTTGTTTACACATATCCTGGGAATATTGTGTACTTTCCTGTATGTGTACTTAGAGTTTTAGCCTCAGGTTTGGATCATCTGTTTTCTCTAGAAATTGCTTCACTCAGAGTCCAAACATATTTTTCCCACTATTAAGAAAAATTAGGTAGCGTATTTTGAAAGATTCCATCTATTTAAAAATAGCTTAAAAAAAAACTCTGTGAAATACAAAACTCTGTTAAATCTGAATCTTTTTGAATTATTACAGTCTGTGCATTTACACTAGAGACTGTCTACTCATTTACTGTTTTGTTGTTTGATTTGCAAACCTATGTAACTGGGTTGCTATAACTGGGTCGTCCTAGAAAGAATTATTTTTGTACCTTCATTGCATTAAACATTTTGTTTCCTCTTTATCTAACCAATATATTTGAAGAAAAGTTGGATCTTTTGGACTCAATCAGATATACCAGGTAAATACAGAAGAGTAGTAATAATGGAAAAGATTTTTTTACATGTGTGTGTGTGGGTGTATGTGTGTTTAGTTTGTCCTTATTGGTTTGTTTTTTCAATTTGGAATCCTGTCTTCACTTCCTGTGATGTTTAAGAAGTCCATTTTGTATAGATTAATTGCAAAGTAAGTTGTCACAGTGCACTTTGTTGAATGTCATTGTTTTCCCATCACAATGCCTAATCTGAATACTTGGTATGCCATTGGATTAGGTCTTTCTGTGATTCCTGAAAAATGCAAATTTAGATATACCTATAGCTCATTATTGTTAGCAATAATTATAGTGAAACATCTGACAATTCATTGAGCATTAAATATTTTTCTTTATATGTTACGTTTTTGAACTTTAAAACAACTCCAAGAGTGAGTATCGTGACTACCTTTTCTGAACGAGAAAACCCAAGTTTAGTGCTGTTTCTAGCTGGCCAAGTCTATGCTGGTAAATAAAGAATGGAACCAAGATTAAAATTAGCTTCAAAGTCCAGCTCCTTCTCACTATTCTGCTCTGTTTCACAGGATATAGTTTATAGGAACCCTAAAGATTATCAGCTGGCTTTATCCTTATTCTTAATTGCTCAGCTTTCCCCTTACATGCAATTCCCTATTTTCAGGGCATGAAAGGATTAAGTAATACTTGGGGGAAGAACCCCAACTTTGTTTGTTTGTTTGTTTTCATTTATTTTTATTAGTTGGAGGCTAATTACTTTACAGTATTGTAGTGGTTTTTGCCATACATTGACATGAATCAGCCATGGATTTACATGTCTTCCCCATCCTGATCCCCCCTCCCGCCTCCCTCCCCATCCCATCCCTCTGGGTCTTCCCAGTGCACCAGCCCTGAGCACTTGTCTCATGCATCCAACCTGGGCTGGTGATCTGTTTCACACTTGATAATCTGCATGTTTCAATGCTATTCTCTCAGATCATTCCACCCTCGCCTTCTCCCATAGAGTCCAAAAGTCTGTTCTATACATCTGTGTCTCTTTTTCTGTCTTGCATATAGGAGAACCCCAACTTTGAAGTGTTTCAGGCCATGTTTGAAATTTCAGAAGTACCTCTTGTTATTGCAATACCCAGAAATCTCCCATAGAGGTATTCTGTGCCTTCTTTTTCTATGCAGGTGCTGAATTGAAGGGTAGGAATTTGGAGCAGCCTTGCAATGTCAATTGAAAAGCAAGGAGTAATTGATATTACTTTCTGTGGCATTGAGTTACTTTCAGAATAGCTTTATAAAAATTTAGGTTGCTTACCAACACATTAACTTCTCTGCCATCAGCACGCTGAACAGCCCATAGTTTCAGAAATAGACTGTGAATAAGTGTAATGCATTTAAATGGTTTGTACTGAATTTTTAAAGCATCAGATATTTGTGGCTTGGAATCAAGGCAGCCTACGGTTCTTTATATTATTATGTATCCATATAGCCTTATACTGAAGATTGCATGTTACTCCCTTAACAGTATTATGAAAAATATCCTTTTATACAATGTCAGTAGGCATAAAATAATAGATACCACAACACTTGCTACATGAAGTAATCACAAATCTAATAAGCTCTTATCCAAGAAAGACTTTATGTCTGGAGATAAGCATCAGATAATCTGCATAGGCTAATGCAACTCATCTGAAATACAAAGAGAAAATTGGAACCAGTAGCAACAATTTTATTAGATGCCAAGAAGTCCTTTGATGCAGTTGAATGGGACTACTTGTGTTATATGTTAGGTAAATTTTGCATCGGGGACGAATATAACAGATAGCACAATTTATGTTCATCTCATTTATATGGTTCAAATCAATGGTTTACTGTCTTCTTTTCCGTGCCTTATTGCTGCACTGGGGAGGGAAGTAAGGACGATGCCCATTACTGATGTTACTTTTCAGGCTGACATTGAAGCTCTAATATCACCCAGATCCCCTGAGGATCTGAGGGATATTCAGATGAAGGTTCACAAGTTAACTAATGTCTGCTGATTATCTACTACTTGTGCTGAAAGCCCTAACTGCATCTGTCCTGAAAACATTAAAAGTGATGTCAGAATTTGGAATGCCTTCAGGCTGCAAAGCCAGTGGGAAAGAATCATAGATGCTATATTGACAAGAGTTATTTCTATTAATATTACTTATGTGACATTTAAAATAGAATGGAAAGTTTAAAAGAATTGATTTGGGATTCTCACTAGGGAATGATTAAACTATAGAGTGGAAAAACAAACTTAAAAAATTGACCTGTTAATTCAATGGTAAGATTTTGTTAAAAGAGTTTTCACTAAATCTAAGCGGGAAGAAAGCCTCGTGGAGCATATTCCTCTTTAAAATTTAATTAGCTCAATCAAATATTAACTCCATACCTTTCTGTAACGTTTCACAAATGAAGAAAGTAATTTCCTTGGTCATGTGAGAGCATACGGCCATGTTGAAACTGGGTGAAAGCATATGCTACCTTAGGAAAAAGACCATTTGCCTCATTGGAAGGTGTTTGATGGCATACGTCATGACTCAATTAAGCTTGCTATGGCTTGTCAAAAGGAATTTTCTGCTGCATATTGCTGTGGAAGAGCCCATTACACACAAATAACTATATAACCTAGCAGAATCAACAGACTAAAACTGTATAGCCTATTGAAAAATAAGAAACATCCAGCTTCTTAAAAACATCCTAGTTCTTAAAAACAAGTGAAAGTAAAATTGCAGATATTAACAAGAATGGGCAAATTAAGAGGGATTAGCAATAGTGATAGGAGAAAAGAGGGATTGGGCTTATTTTAGTTTATAATTGCTAAGTGATGTGATTGTTCATGTACTCATTCAGAGTGTTACTAACCTTTGCAAAATGGTAAACTTTGCCCTCATTCTGGTACTACAGTAATTTCTGGGGTGAGGGGCTGAGGAATGAGAGGACTGGAGTACTTGTGCTGACTTGTTAATTGATGTTAGTAGGGCAGGATTGCTGGGCTTGTAGTTCAGAGCTGTTAGTGCTTAAGAAAAGGGAAGGCTGGTGGCACCTAGCCCATATGCCACTGAAAATTGTTTTGTGTGATATTTTTAGCCATGAAGAGCCAGTATAACTAGTTTCATTGATAGCCACCCCTCTTGATCATAAAAAGTCTTAAGTGTAAATCCTAGATTATAACAAACGTGTTTAACAAACACAATGTGTGTGCATGCTAAGTTGCTTCAGCAGTGTCCAACTCTTTGCGACCCTATGGACTGTAGCCCACCAGGCTCCTCTGTCCATGGGATTCATCAGGCAAGAATACTGGAGTATTGCCATGGCAATACTGGGTTGCCATGCTCTTCTCCAGAGGATCTTCCCCACCCAGGGATATAACCTGCGTCTCTTGCATCTTCTGCATTGGGAGGCAGATTCTTTACCACTAGTGCCACCTGGGAAGCCCAATAATCACAACTGACATATCCAAACTACCTATCTTCTTCAAAGTGATGACTTTTTGTTGTATATCCTGGCACAAATAGTTTCTGTTAAACCTTGCATGTGAAGCTATG